AAACAAGCCTGAATGGTCCCCAGGACTATATGCGACTGAAAACTCACACCCCAGTCATATATATATATATATGTCGTACCTAGTAGCCAGAACGCACTTCTCAGCCTACTATGCAAGGCCCGATTTGCCTAATAAGCCAAGTTTTCATGAATTAATTGTTTTTCGACTAACTAACCTACCTAACCTAACCTAACCTAACTTTTTCGACTACCTAACCAAACCTAACCTATAAAGATAGGTTAGGTTAGGTTAGGTAGGGTTGGTTAGGTTCGGTCATATATCTACGTTAATTTTAACTCCAATAAAAAAAAGTTGACCTCATACATAATGAAATGGGTAGCTTTATCATTTCATAAGAAAAAAATTAGAGAAAATATATTTATTCAGGAAAACTTGGCTTATTAGGCAAATCGGGCCTTGCATAGTAGGCCAAAAAGCTTCCCGTCAGTTTTAATATATCACATGCAAGTAAGTTAATGCCATCCTTTGTAGAAGCAGAAGTTGATGTGTTCTTTACCACCTTTGAAACCCTTGCTAATCAACTCAGTTGGCCTGTCGACCAATGGGCCACACTTCTCAGAGTCCATCTTACAGGTAGAGCTGCAGTCACACTCAGTACTTTGGCGTCTGAGAATGACTACTACACTCTGAAACAAGCAGTGTTGGACGCCTACCTCCTCTCTACTGAAAGTTATAGAAGGAAATTCCGTGACCACCTGAAGGCAAGTACCACTACCTTCCTCGAGTTTGCTAACACGAAACGGAGGTATTTCATGAAATGGCTGGAAGCAGCACATGTCTCTACTTTTACAGAACTCGTCAACCTGATGCTTGTTGAAGAATTCTTGAGACGTGTGCCGCCTCCTGTCCGCCTCTACTTAGCAGATAAAGAAGAAACCGACTACCTGAAGTGTGCTAAGTCGGCTGACACTTACAGCCTCATCCACCGGCTGACACCTGAACCATCCTCCAGTAAGAAGTCGTGGTACAGTTACGAGAAGGTGAGCCCCGATCAAGCTGGTTCACAACTGTACTGCAAGTATTGTAGACTCTATGGACATACCATAGACAAGTGTGGTAAGTCTCAATACAAGGGAACCACTGACCAACAACGACCCAAACCAACTCCTCCTAAGTCCGGTAAGCCTGTGATGAATGTTGGTGTTGATGTTAATGATCTTTCTCTTTTCAGTAACCACCTGTATACTGGAACTGTCTCTGCCAACGGTTCAAATCCGGAGGGACGTTTCAAATTGAAGATCTTGAGGGACACAGCGGCTCTACAATCGATCATCTTGAAGTCGGCTGTGCCCAACATAGTCTACACCGGGGAAACAGTCTTCATCACTGACCTCACTGCTACCACTCCATACCCTCTCGCCAGAGTCCACCTGGATTGTCCCTACGTGAACGGGGAAGTCCAAGTCGCCGTCAGGGAAAAGCCTTTTCCCATGCCTGGAGTGCAACTTCTCCTAGGCAACGACTTGGCAGAAGACCTGCAACCAACCAACCTGATCGTCATGGACAAACCCCAGGTGTGTAACTCTGTGCCAAGTAATCCTATTCTCGAGTATGTTCCAGCAGAGGTTCAAGAGAGTGATAAAGTTTCTCCTCCGGTTCTCGTGACCACCCGTGCACAAGCCGCACTTCCACAGCCAGCTGACTCTACTGTTACCGCTGTCCCTCAAGACCCTCAGAAACTACCCCCGCATCTGACCAAGTTGGAGTTCCGTAAGTTGCAGAGGGAAGATCTTACTTTAACACCATTGTTTTTCCAGGCTGAGACTCAACCCGACAGTATTCCTGGGTTCTTCCTAGAGAACGACTTGCTCTACCGCAGATATAGACCCAGTAAACTGAAGGAGGAGGACGATTGGGCCAACACCGAACAACTTGTGATTCCCACCAGCCTGCGGCCCACTATTCTACACCTGGCCATATATATATATATATATATTATGGCATCAGCACCAGGCTGCAGATGCCATAAACAGCTAGGTCACTTTTTTTTAGTTTAGCTCATTTATTATGCACCCCATACCCATCTTGTGGGCGGTAGTGGAGAGGGTTACAGAGGCACATAAGGGGCTCAGGGACTGAACCCCACAATTCATTTAGCTAAGCATGTTACAGTCTTGACAAGCTAGTTACAAAATTCAGTATAAGTAGTCACATCATCAATGGGTTCAAGATCGACCACATGTACAGTTTCTAAATTAATTAAGCAACTGACATATGTGGAGAGCTGGTGTAATAATTGATATGTTTGTCCTGCACACCGCCCCCCATATAGCTAGGTCACAAGACATTTAACAGTCCTGATTAAACGTATCCTCCTATGAGAAATGTGTTGGAAAATAGTGTGAACAGCAGCTATGCTGACGATAAAAGCATGTAAAACTCGACATCTTCTTTATCTGATCGGGAACCAGCCCTACAAACGCCAACAGATAACTGTATATAGAACAATTTTAAACCAGCAGCCTACTCATACCTTTGTTATCCAGTTCTGCTATCATCCGTGCATACCGTGGGGGGGGGTTACAGATTACCCGATAATGGGATATGCTTAGCTTTTATTGCTAACGTTATAAGGCAGCATCCCGCCGAGGACACACAACTCCCCTCAACCAAACTATACACACAGCACGCCTGGCAGACCTCACCGCCACGCTCCCGCCTTAATTTGAAACCCTTTGACAGTTTAACGATTTTTAACGGTGGCCTTAACATTTAAGGGTATTGTGCTTTTATCACTTAATAAAATAAAGAATCTTACAATGAATCGACTTGATCAAGTTCAAGTATGTTTATTGAGATAAGCAAGAAATACATCTCAAAGGGATAGAGTAGCTTAGGCTATATCTACCCCCCCCCCTGTCGACTTGATCATTGCTGTCTTCTTATATGTGCTATCAATCTGCTGTATGGTGTCTATTAATCTTGTTTAAATTACCAATCAACTGTCAATATAATCAATCAGAGCTTTAATATACCAATGTGCTTTAATATACTTACTAATCTCTCTCATCTCATTTTTTTCTTGCAATGTATATATTATCATTTTATTAATTCTGCTAGAATTTACCTACTTAAAATTATCTGTTAGATTAAGGACCTGCCCGAAACGCTGCGCGTACTAGTGGCTTTACAAGATTGTAAATACTATGCTATGTATTCTCACAAACCCAATGTACCTTCTTGTATATAAATAAATAAAATAAATAAATAAACTTGAGAATAGTCCAGGACGGACCGAAACGTCGTCGTCCCTTCACCTTCTAGTGTGTGGTCTGGTCAACATTCTTACATGAGTTTAGGTTGATATTTATATTTTGTGAATGCGTAATTTTTAAAGCAATGTGCAACATGTTTTTCTTTAATATTTGTCACAGCCTGTTACATATATCAATTAATTATCATACCTTTTCGCGAGTTCAAATGCTTCATTTGACGAAGCTCTTGTCATTCAGCATGTATAGGATCTAACTAACCTAACTGTAAAGTGGAAACGTGGATTACTAAGGAGCTACGTACGTCGACATTCATCTCTAGCGATGTACATATGTACATCGTCACATATGTTGCAATTTATATCAGTAAGAGAAAATATAATTGTTTTTATGAGGGTGGAGGCCAGACACATGAGGGCAAGCTTCAACCTACATTGCAGAATGATTGCTGAGTGGTAGGTGACGAAAATGGGGGGATTGGGGGAGGTCCCATTGCTCCTACTGAATTGAAATTGAAATTGAAATAAGTTTATTGAGGTAAAATACACACAAAGGGATGAGGTAGCTCAAGCTATTCTCACCCCGTTCAGTACATCGTGTTAATACATACATAGACACACATCACAAACAATAAACATATTACCAAACATTCTGAGAGATAAACATATACATTTCCTCCTACTCCTACTGAAAGGTTTTTATCCATGGCGACCCTAGGAAATCGATGGAAGGTTGATGATAAAATTTCAAACAATACTGTTTGTTGACCAACTTGTATACCTACTGATTTCTGCCATGTTTCCCCTCCTTTTTTCCAACTCAATTTATGCTTTGATCTCAATTAGTATAAGTTTTAGTCTAAGTTCTTATGTTCTTAGGGTATTAAAACTATCAACACACGACAGAAAACGAAAACAGGCATATAAATTGGATAAGTTTAGATTTAGGAAAGATCTGGGTAAATACTGGTTTGGTAACAGGGTTGTTGATTTGTGGAACCAATTAACGCGTAGCGTAGTGGAGGTGGGGCCCCTTGATTGTTTCAAACGTGGGTTGGACACGTATGTGAGTGGGATTGAGTGGTTATAAATAGGAGCTGCCTCGTATGGGCCAATAGGCCCTCTGCAGTTACCTTTATTCTTATGTTCTTAAGTGTTTTTTTTACCACACCTTGCCCGAAACGATGTGCTTATTAGTGGCTTTAGACATTGTATTAACTATCTCTTTCTAGAAATCCAACATTATGTTTGTAACTCATCTTGCATGTACAGTACTATTACCTGAATAAACATTGTATTTGCTTTTCTGTTTGCACTTTCTTACAATGCATTTTTTTGTCTATACAGTATACCTAGGTCATAAAAGTATTTATGTGTACGTCTGATATGTATGTATTAACACGATGTACTGAACGGGGTGAGAATAGCTTGAGCTACCTTATCCCTTTGTGTGTATTTTACCTCAATAAACTTATTTAAATTTCAATGCATTTTTATACTTTTTACAATGTATTTGTATACTTTCTTACAATGTACATGTAAATTTCTTTTTAATTTTACTAGAAATTACCTTATTAAAATTATATGTTAGATTAAGGATGTGCCCGAAACACTAAGCGTGCTAGTGGCTTTACAAGAATTACTAACTTCAATGCTCTGTACTCTCATAAACCCAATGAACCTTCTTGTATATAAATAAATAAATAAATTTGATTTGGTTTGAATAGTGACCCCGTGCAAAGTTTGATAAACAACAACATGGTAAGTCTGCAGTATTGTGAAGAAGAGTAAGTTTTGGTGACCAGTCACAGTCTGTGGTACTTCTGCACCAGTAAATTTACCTGAGGACCACTAGTAGTTGTGGTCTCGACGATAAAGGAAGCCGGCGGCTTCTCAAAGGTGGCTTGTCAATTGTCATTTGGTGGCCGGCGGCTTGTTAATTATCATTTGCTCTGATAAAAGTAGGGTTTTGGCGTTTACGGCTTCGGCGGGTAGGCGGTTCCACGGTTACCCAATGGGTGAAAAAGCATCTGTTTTCTGTTTGACATTGAAGGTTGGGGCAACAATGTAAGCATTGGGGCCTATGTTGAGGGAGGGCCCAACAATGTTGCTTCTTGGCACCTTGGCGCATGCCTCCTTAGGTGTCCTCCAAGGTACCCTGAGGTACACCTTGGCAACAATGTTGCCCATTCTACATTGAGGGAAGGGGAAACAATGATGCCCATTAGTGTTTAGACCACTTTCGTCTTCTCGCTGTTTGGCTTCGACTTAATCGGCTACCCAGTGGATGCTTGATGCTTTGTCGTCTGGGGTCACAGTGTGTCGATACTGTCTTCCAGTTTTCCCTCTTGTGTGGGACAGGTGCTGGTTCTTTCCTCCTCAGGAAATGCTTGTGTAATTACTTAGTGCAGTTACATGATGAGAGTAATTCTCGTGGTGTCCCGTCTTCCCAGCACTCTTCGCCATACTGTATAACGCTTTGCATCTACTGACGGTTTTGGCCTCTACCACCACCTCATCTACCTTGAAATGGTAGATGAAAACTTGTTTCTGAAAAGGAATTTTCTTATATTCGGCAGCTTTGTTTAGATACTTTAAATCTATGACCTCCTGTTCTTGAAGTTCCATGTATCAGAAATTCTTCCCTATCAATTTTATCGATTCCCGTTACTATTTTGTACGTAGTGATCATATTGCCTCTTTTTTTTTCTTCTATCTTCTAGTTCTAGCATATTCAATGCCTCTAACCTCTCCTTATAGCTCTTGTCCTTCAGTTCTGGGAGCCATTTAGTTGCATGTCTTTGCACCTTTTCCTGTTTGTTCATGGGCTTAAGATATGGGCACCATACAACTGCTTCATGTTCCAGCTTTGGTCTAACAAAAGTCTTGAACAATTTCTTTAGTATTTCATCATCGATGTATTTAAAAGCAACTCTGAATTGCTTTTAATTATCAATTACTGAATCGACAATTGTGTGTCACAGAGTACCCACCGATTGGTGCATTTGTCTGCTGTAGGGTGCAATTTTTATTTTTTCAGCTGTCTGGTGTTGTACCGTTTCGCCTTTGGGATTTGCTGTTTTTTTTTCCCTGGCTCACGGGTACGTCGCTGTAGCCCTTCTTAACCCCTTCAACACCACCACCAACAAATGGTTTACTAAACAACTAATTTCTCCTATAATAATAATAATAATAATGTTTATTCGGGTAAAAGTATATACTGTACATACAAAATGAGTTACAAACAGAATGTTTGATTTCTAGTTAGAGCTAGTACTGTATTTACTATGCATAACACCATTAATATGCACAGCATTTCACACAAGATCTATATCTTAATTTGTGCAGGTTACTTCATGGTTTACTATCCCAGAAGCAAGGGTGAGGCTTCTACATGGGGCTAGTTTATTGTACTAGTATTAAGTTTGAGAAAAGAAGAATATTCTACACTAACCATAGATCATGGTAATTGTGATGGCAGTAGAGCTGTGATACGGGCAAGCCCTAAACACATGTTTTGACAAAGTTATTTATTTTATTTATTTATTTATTCATTTATAAGAAGATACAGTGGGTTGTTAAACTGTATATGCTGGTGAGTGAATAGTACTGTACATTGTTGTCAAGCATTTTCTAATTGTTAAAACTGTGTATTATTAAATTAGACAGGGTTAGGCTTCGTAGAATTAGGCGTTAGGCTATATTAGGCTAAAAATCGCCTGGCGTTCCGCGAGCGCTATGTCATGGGTTCGTATCCTGGCCGGGGAGGATTTACTGGGCGCAATTCCTTAACTGTAGCCTCTGTTTAACGCAACAGTAAAATGTGTACTTGGATGAAAAAAAGATTCTTTGCGGCAGGGAATCGTATTCCAGGGACCTGCCCGAAACGCTACGCGTACTATTGGCTGTACAAGAATGTAACAACTCTTGTATATATCTCCAAAAAAAAAAAAAAAAAAAAAAAAAAAAAAAAAAAAAAAAAAAAAAAAAAATATTATAAGGCTAGGTTAAGTTAGGTCAGGGGTATTTTTTTTAATTCGCTGGTAAACTGTCATGGGTATGAAGTGACTTGTAACCTGTAAGCTGACCTGTGATGTGCGCTGTGGTCTGTTTCCGTCTTCTTCATACGTTTGTGGTCTATCTCGAGTAAAATTCGTTCACACAGTGTATAGCACTTTGTAAGAACCCATTTTGAAATGGTAGATGGAAAGCTGCAGATCTTTTAACCATGTTCTAATCATCTGAACAATTTACCTTTGTCTAACCTAAGAATTGTGGAAATAACTGCATGGGATGTTTCACTGTCCGAGTACTGTATAGGTTAAAAATTATAATTTATCTGACAATTCTGGTAAACTATGCATAATTTGACCATAAGTATATCCACCTAGCAAATTACCACATGGCCTATTTCCAATGTATCCACAATTCTTTATTTTGTTAAAATGATTCTGAAAGTGAATCAACTATGTTTCCATCCAACATTTCAACATGAGGACATGTTGGACTTTTTATGGAAATTCGATTTTTAAAATTAGCAAAACACTTTGGGAACAGAGAATATGTGGAAGGTTTTTAAGTTATTTAAAAAATATGTTTTATACATGTGCAAAAGGTTGAAGGTTAATCACTATTATAAATTTATATACAGTTGTGAACCAGTTATGTAACTGTAGTTATTATATTTTTCAGAATTTGAAAGTGCATAGTTCAAGACTAAATTGAAACTAATACTCCTAACAAAGAGGATCGAAAAACCAGTGATGATTGCATCACTGGGGAGAGGTAGCAGATTTTTACACAGATGTTTGCTAAACTCAAGAGTTAAACCCAAGACGATGTCCACATTGGGAAAGACTGACACCTGCGCTGAAGAAGGTATCAAATCCTATTGATTTGTGACTTGCTAATCTGTGTATGTGCAGCCCATCCTCCTGTTTAGGTAGTACTTATAGTAATGATGAGGACCATCGTACTGTACATACTGTATATTAGTGTAAAAGGCAATTAGAAAGCAGAAATCGTTTGAAATTGGACAAACCGGAAAAGTTTTTGTACTAACCTAACTTAGCATGTATTAGGCCTAGGAAGGTTATCTGAGGCCTAATATACGTAGTACATATACAGTATGTGCTATACTAGGTCTAGGAATATTTACCCGGTAAGTGTGGTTTTTAGCTTTATTTTTTTGGACTATAAAGTGAAGTGTACAAAATTATACTATCTTATTGTCAATTACATATGTCTATGTATGTACGATGTTCCACATAGATACAAAAAGCATTATTTAAACAGGAGGATGCATTGGTATGTGACTCTGTAAATAAGAAAAAAAATAAGGGAATTGTTAGTTTCTTTTAACCCTAGTTAGTGTTACTTTTTCTTAAGATCTATCAGTACCATCTCTTATTTCCTTTTCTCCATTACACAATTATCTACATAGGTGTTGTGGGGGGGGGGGAGAGACACCCATTTCTCTCTCTATTGTGGTAAATCCTTACGCTTAAGAATGGAAGCTAGCTCAAGTTTACTAATGTATTTTGTGATTGGGGGGAATTATTTAAGATATTTTATGTTGGAAGCTTTAACACATATTTGCACATAAATAATTTGTCACCCATAGAAAGCACAGTACTGTAGTTGCAAACGTAACTTGCTTAATATTTCAGGCACTGTTATTGTTGAACGTCATCCAGAAATAACAATGATTGGCATCAACAGACCAGAAAAAAGAAACTGTATAAACTCTCCAACAGCAGCAGCTCTTCTAAAAGGTATTTTATACAAATAATGAAAATATAATGTGTACAAAAGTATCCGAAAATTTTAGTCTGCACATTAATGCTTTGTGTATTAACTCTTTCTAACTCTTAAAATAACTGTGTAATAAATATATACCTTCTTGCTATGCTGTATGGATTTCTAATATGTTGCTAAAATATTGAGCTTCCACCATTTAGTCATGTGAATAGTAATTATTTTTTCTACAGCCTTTCAAGATTTTGACAACGATGATTCTTCAAAGGTTGCTGTGTTGTATGGTGTGGGCGGTAATTTTTGTGCTGGTTTTGACTTGAAGGAACTGAGCGATTGCCCTCCTGTGGCACTTTCTGCTTATGATCGAGGACCTATGGTGAGTATGGCTAAAAAATGGGAATCTAAAGATATTCCAATTCCCTTTGATTACAGTTTTAGAACTTTAGAATTGATTAAAAACTACAGGCTTGATATACTGTATATATGCGGAAAATCCACAGAGAAATATGAAATGAGGTGAACGTTTCGGCTTTGTTAAAGCCTTTGTCAACACCAGACTCAACACCAGTCAGTCTGGTGTTGACAAAGGCTTTAACAAAGCCGAAACGTTCACCTCATTTCATATTTCTCTGTGGATTTTCCGCATAAAATGATCAGTGTTTTGTGATCGTCAATTGCATACTGTATATATATTTTGAATAATATCAACATTATGTAATGTGATACTGTACTTTTGTCGCTATTGACAAAATCCTTTTATACAATACCATATGTGGAAGTTGTACCTATCAATTTATTTTTCCACCTTTTTTTTCAGCTTTGCTTCATGATTGTTTTAATAGAATTTAAGAGTTGTTTAATTTGGTATTTTTTTTTTTTTTCAATGAAGTATTATATGAAAGCCTCACTGTAGATTTTAAACTAACAGCTTACATTATCTAGGAGTTTAGGCCAATGAGAGTAATATATTTTATGTGATTATCAAAAGAAATAGCTAAGGCTGTAAGCTACATAGTACTTTCTGTATTATAGAATACTATTCAAGAGTTTGTATATATCATTCAGGGTGCTGATATGAGAGCAGAAAGACAAAAGAAGCGATGCAAAAAATGTTTAATTCACCACCATTCAGATTCGCCAGTAATTGTATCGAGGGGCTCATAAATACCAAAAAAAGTGGAAGAGCAAAATTTCTGATCTTGAAACTTGGAACATTTTTATGAGAAGGTTCACGGCTGTTAGTTGAACAGTGCTGTTTAGACAGTATGGTGTAGGTCTTTATTCCATTAAGTGTTAATTTATTTTCTTTATTTCTTTATAAATAAAGTGTGCCACTAGTACGCATAGCGTTTCGGGCAATTGTTTGGGGCCACTATATAACCTAGCCAAAGACGTTTTCCACTTCAATTTTCTGGTGACAGGAGGAAGCAACAGTGATTGGTTACATTTGATAGTATAGTATGACTATTGAGAATAGCTAACCATCTTTCTCTCCAGCGGTTCCAGTTTGCATTGTGAATGAAAGGGTAGAAATCCGAGCAAGAAATTAAAGTTTGGGAAATTCCAACAGCAAAATCCTTCTGAATTTCTGATGTTTGTGCTATATTGTGGTGCAAATTTTTGAAGTATTTGTGATTATTCCTGTCACAGACCAGGAATAATTGATTAGTCACAATCAACCCAACCTCAACTTGATTAGTCACAATCAACCCAACCTCAACTTGATTAGTCACAATCAACCCAACCTCAACTTGATTAGTCACAATCAACCCAACCTCAACTTGATTAGTCACAATCAACCCAACCTCAACTTGATTAGTCACAATCAACCCAACCTCAACTTGATTAGTCACAATCAACCCAACCTCAACTTGATTAGTCACAATCAACCCAACCTCAACTTGATTAGTCACAATCAACCCAACCTCAACTTGATTAGTCACAATCAACCTAACCTCAACTTGATTAGTCACAATCAACCCAACCTCAACTTGATTAGTCACAATCAACCCAACCTCAACTTGATTAGTCACAATCAACACACATTGTATATAGTTTTCATTACCTTAATATCTTTGTAATTATGTTAAGTGATGAGCATGGATTGTGAAAAATCTGTTAAGATCTTACTTTTTAAAGCAAGTGAACAGACTTATAAAAATTGCTAATGTTTAACATTTACAAATGTTCCATAAGAAGTATTGGACTCTTGCCTTAGATTCTGACAACTAATGAAGGCTTCTAAAGCATTCTTGCAAGTTTTGAAAAATAACCTTATATAGACAGATTTTTTTGTTTATTGTTATATGCAAGAGATTTATATGAGTCATATTAAGTTTTAAGAACAATGCAGTACTTTCAATATTTTTTGTTGGACACAGGGCCCATCACGATATGAGACCAAAAAACCTGTGATTGCTGCTGTGGAAGGCTTTGCAGTAGCTGGTGGGCTTGAATTAGCTTTATGGTGCGACCTGAGAGTGGTGGAAGAAACAGCAGTAATGGGAGTCTTCTGTAGAAGGTTAAGATAATTATTGCACTAGTGAAAACCTTCACTATTTTGATAATCATGTGAACCATACATTTACAAAGTTATTCCTTAGTTTCAAAACTCCCAGTGATTGCTGCTAAAGCACCAGGGAGCCGGTGGCTGAGGGGACAAAACACTGTACGCGTGATCTTGTGGTCCTGGGTTCGATCCCAGGTTCGATCCCGGGTGCCGGCAAGAGACAATGGGCAGAGTTTCTTTCACCCTGATGCCCCTGTTACTTAGCAGTAAATAGGTACCTGGGTGTTAGTCAGCTGTCACGGGCTGCTACCTGGGGGTGGAGGCGTGGTCGAGGACCGGGCCGCGGGGACACTAAGCCCCGAAATTATCTCGAGATAACATCAAGATAAGAGGAAAGCATTCTTTAACATTCGAGTGCTGTAGTAGTCATATTTAGGCTTCACTCGCCTTCTCACTAACCAGTTAAAACATTTAATTTTCTCGTGCCTCCTGTATCTTCATCTTTGTGATATAATTAAGTATTAAAATTATATCTAATTCATTGTGTCGGGGAACAGGAAGCCTGAGTGTATTCATACACGTTTGGCTTTTATCAAAGTTCCCGCTCAAGGCCGAATTACTGATCCCACCCAGGATGCAACCCCACAACAAGTTAACTGAGTACCTACTCACTGCTAGGTGAACAGCGACCTTAGGCGACAGGAAATGTGCCCAACAATTTCTGTCCCGCCCGGGATTCGAACCCGGAATTCTTGATTGTGCATCAAGAACGAACCCGACTGTACTACCGGGACCCTGTCTCAGTAGTGCATAGTTTTACATAGTACTGTATATATATTTATATGCTGTATGTACTGTACAGTGTATCTCTTTCTTCCCGCCACTTATGGTGAATATGTGAATATAAGCAGACAAGTTTTAGCAGTTGATGAATCCTTCATCTAGTCCCAAGTTGCTGTTAAATACTGTACTTTGCACTTCCTGGTTGGTTTTAACTAATTTTAGTGTAAAGATGATGGTGATAATTAGTTTCCAATAGTTACTGAATAAATGATAGATATCTTGCAATACACCTGTATAAGTAAAACCAAAGATATTGTATCATTAAACACCGATATAAATTTATGCCCTTAGGTAAATATACAGCTTGTATATTTATAAGTTTAAAATATAGAGTCCATGATATATTTAATATTTGTATATATATTGTGTATACAGTATACTGTACTTGTATATACAGTATACACTTTTGAATAATGTCTACTTGCCCAACTATATTTTTACAATGCAGTATTTCAATGTGCAGCTTCCTATATTCTTATTCCTTGTGTTTTTGAAAGTTAAAACCTACAATATCTAAAAAAAATTAAGGTAAAAAATATTTAAAGTGAAATATTTTCGCTTTTATATTTAAAAAGTGTACTTTTTCAATACATACAAATGTGTGTATTGAAAAAGTATAGTTTGCATGGTTATTATGGATTTAATGAGCTTTACTCATATTTAATAGGTTTGGTGTTCCTTTAATTGACGGTGGCACGGTTCGACTTCCAGCTATTGTTGGTCTTGGACGTGCACTTGATCTGATTCTTACTGGCAGGGCGATAAAAGGAAAAGAAGCATTTGAGTGGGGACTTGCTAACCGAATTGTTGCATGTGGTACTGGTAAGGCTCTGACATCCTTAATTTCTGTGGGGAGCCCCGTCGGCTTGCTGAAGCTATACGAACTGATATATAGGGTAGTGCTTTATTAGTTTGGGGTCATCAGTCACAGTTGTCCTTTGCCTACTGGAGACCACGAGCCAGAACCTGACCAGAACCTCTGAGGCACAGGGAGCAATGGCCTACGAGCACTTTACATTTAAGTATGCCATATTTTGCCATTACCAGGAAAGTACTCTGAAAGATAGGTGAAACAAAAACTACAGTCTGGTGAAAATTGCTATCTATGTCTGGAAAGAGCAAAAGAACTCTCCAAGAAAGAAAACAAACGAGCAAAACGTCATGCAACTAGCACTTCCGGTTGTTAGTGTTACCCCCTCCCCAAAGGGGGGAGGGAGAGCCGGCAGCCTAACACTCCAGTTCTTGAACCGATGTGGTGGTGGCCAGTTTGGTCACCTCTAGCCTCAAGTTCTTGTTCTGGATTTTTGCTCTGTGTGGCAGTTCTAGCTGTGTGTGTGTATGTGGGGTAAGGTGGCCAGGTGTCTTAATGTACAGGAGCAGCATGCACCTAGGGTTGTCTTCCCTAAGTGCTCTGTAAGTACTATACTTGCATTTCAGGGTTATCTTCCTGGGGGGCATTCGGGACTCACTTCCCATTGAGGACTTCCTTGCTTGAGGTTGTCTTTGACCTTGGAGTATGTCAGGGATCTTGGGGTTTGCCTACATGCCCAGGTAGGGGAGTGTTTTTCCTGAGTTGGGGCGCACTGCGGCTGGTGCAGTCAGCTTTACTTCCAACGCGGTGGCCGATGTTTCTCTCCGGTTGCTATTGGTATGATTTCGGGGGCTTTGTTTTTTCATCTTCTGGTGTTTTGCCTATGTAGACAGAGGAGGTTGGCTTAGCTCCTTATTAAGTTTGCCTAGGTTGTGGTGGCTCTCCTTTGTTGCCCCCGAGGTTTTACCACTGCTAATGGTAGTCGGTTTGCCTGCTTTTACGCAGGGGGGTCTTCCAGCTAAGCTGATTCCAGTGCCTGTGCTTCCTGTAGGGAGGTCATTCATCCTACAGGCCTTGGAATACCCCTGTGAGCTTGATTGTACTATGGTTACTTCTTCCGAGCCCATTTGCCTTGTGTGAAGTTGAAGGTTGTTCATCGCCCCTGCCTCGTAGTGATGTTCATCTATACTGCCTGTTGGGTCGGGGACACCACCGCTCCGCGAGTCTTGCGGGACTTGTTTCCTGTTTGTACCTCAAATTGTTTTTTTTTATCCCTTATCTGATGATCTCAGGGATCAGGCAATGGCCTCATTGCATGTTCGATTCTCACTCTTGCAGTGGGCCAAGTTGGTTGCCCGGTTGGAGGCCTCGGAGCTGTCCTGTTTGGGTTTTAGGGTACAGGATTTGGGGGCGTTGGTCGCTGCGACCCTGGTTTCGTCTGCGCTCCCTCTTCCTTCCCAGGTGGGCGTAGTTTGCCCTGCTCCTCCTTCCCCCTGCTTCCGGCTCCCAAATGTCCGAGGGTTTTAGAGTCGGGATGAGGCTCGGGCGGCTTCGTGGGCAGCTCCTTCTGATTCAGGCATGAAGGTGGTTGAGCCTGATTTTCCCGCCAGGGCTTCTGGGTCGACTCAGCAGACTCCCTTCTTCAAGGCCTTTTTCTTGGACTCTGCCTTTTCTTCAGAGGAAGTGAGGGTGGAAGAGGGCTCCGCCCTGGGGCCTGTGTCGGGGGGTTCCAGGGCTCGAAGAGAGTCTGTATGGAGCTCTTGGGCTCCTTTTGCACCTGCTTGGGCCCTTGTGCCCTATGGGCAGGGGTTGTTGCTGCAGGGAGAAGGGGTTTTGTTCCCTCCTTCCAGTTATGCATCTATATTACGTGTTTGCTGGCGTGATTTCCGCTCCCCCGCATCACAGCGACACGTCTTTTGCTTGGATGTTTTGTACTAAAAAAAAAATAACTACTTCATGTTTCGTCATACATTTCTTGCATATTATTTATCTGTGCTTTTGGTTCCCCTGCTCTTCCCTCATCTCCGATCAGCAGTTCATTGTTTATATTGTTGATTGGCGGAGTTTTGTTATACAGATTGTGAAACTTGGGTTTCTGTTTATGATGTTTTGTGTTGCCACGACTGGTTGCCAGGGTGGCGCTCAGGTTGTGGTGCTCCATCCCACAGCTGTGGTTTGTTTTCATTCTCCTTGCAAATGGCAACCATGCTGTTTAAAGTTTATCATTCCTTCCCCAATTTTGGGGACATTTTTTATTTCGTTAATGAACCATTGTTCTTCCTGGTGCCTCGGTTGTTCCCTACTGTATGGCATGTCTCAGGTAGGTCGTGTCTGCTATGAAAGGGGTGGTGAGGTCCGTGAATTGGTGTGAGCTTCCTTCATCACTGCCATTGCGCCGTCAGTAGGTTTGGCAGGTTTGTACTCGCCTTGTAGTACTCTTCCAGTTGTGTTTGCAGGAGTTGCGCTTTGACTCTTTGGGCCCACCTCTCATTCATTATTCTATTGGTGTACACGTTCCTGAGCTTCTCGAGCTTTTTCATCTCCACGTTTGATCTTGTGTAAGGGTCAGCCTCCACCACATCACTGCCTCTTGCATTCCATTTCGTTACTACTCTGCCACTGAACAAGTTTTTTCTGATGTCTCTGTGGCTCTTTTGTGCACTTGGTTTCCTCCTGTGTCCCATTATGGGTGTACCACCTGTGTTGATTCTTCCATCTTTTTCTGTGGATCGTTTGGGTACTTGGCTTCCTCCTGTGTATCCCCCCCCCCCTTCCTTTGGGGGGGGGTTACTAACAAGTGGGAGTGCTAGTTGCATGATGTGTTGCTTGTTTGTCTTCTTTCTGGGGAAGTTCTTTTGCTCTTTCTGGATGTAAGTAGCAATTTTCACCAGACTGTAGTTTGTTTTGTTTTGCCTATCTTTCTGGGTGCCTTCCACAGTCAATGGCAAAATATGACATACTTTAAATGTAAAATGCTCAGAGGCCATTGTTCCCTGCGCCTCTCTGAGGGGGCCAGGTTCTGACTCGTAGTCCCCGGTAAGCATAAGGACTCCTGTAACTGACGACCCCAAACTAATAAAGCAGTATATCAGTTCAGATAGCTTTAGGGAGCCTCCGGGGCTCACCCAGAAAATGGCATTTCATTACATTCAGCGGTGTTTTTTTCTTTATTTTGATTCTCCTGACTAGTTTCCATTCAGTATCTTAAGTACATGATTGTATTTGCTTAAAACCCTTAAAGCTGTTTTAATTATGTATAAAAATGTATAACTCCTATTGATATTGAGTTCTCTAGTTCTCTGGCAACTACTGTACTGTTCTCTGAGCTCACATACAGCTGCTCCATCAAGTAATATCCCACTGTTTTCTTGAATAAAATTCATGCAGTTAGATAGGGTGACATACAGCAAGGTGGCACAGGAAATATTTAAGCATTTCTGCAAGACCATATTGTGCCATATTGAAGATTTTATCACTTCAACCAAGAAATGACTTGGCTTTCACGAAAAAATCAAAGTCGTACCAAGTCATTAATTACGATAACATTAGACTACCAAATGAGATCTTTCACAAACTAATAGCTGGTCTGGTTAATCAATCTAACTAATTGCCGCCAGATGATAGCACATATACCACTTCAGGGTTTGCTGATCCAGGCTGATTTAGATATTGGCATAGCTCCGCAAGCCCCAGACCTAAGCTAGAGCCATGATCTTAAGAAATTTGCTATCCTTAAGGCCTTCTTTTCTATGTCTTGTAGGAATTTTGGGAACATGACTTCTTGAGGACAAACTAAATGTTCAGAACAGTATTTCCCAGAGTCCATGCCGAGGCCACTAGTATGTTGGTTTAAATTGCCTCTGTCTCCTAATCTAAACTTGCTGTGGCTGCAGTGCTGTTATGCCCTGGTTTCTTCCAACTACCAGGTTGCATCTTCTGTAACCTTTATCTTACATCGAACATCATTCTGCAGCATAGGATAGTACCCAAAATGTTTATTATTCCTTATCTTCCAAGTCTTGATTCTTACTTGAAGGAGCAGCAGAATTTGATAGACTCAGGAAACAGCCTTTGAGTAATATGAAAAGACCATTTTTGATCAGAAAATGCTGGCATTTCTGGTCTGTTGTCCCTCTTTATCATTGATCAAAGAGGGTTTTTGGCATTAGGATATATTGAGGGGGGAGGGGGGCTGAAGGGGGACTTATGAGGTGTATGTGTGATACTGCCACCTAGTGGAAGTCAACCAAGATATCCATGCAGGTCAACTGGTAGTTCGCCCAGGATGCTCGCATGGCAGATACCAGTAATGATAAAAATAAAAGACATAAAGACATAAAGTACTTGTACGTGTTAAGCTTGTATCGAAGTCCCACTCAGGGTCGAATTACTGACCCTCCCCAGGATGCAACCCCACAACAAGCTGACTAACGCCTGGGTACCTACTTACTGCTAGGTGAACAGAGGCATTAGGTGAAGGGAAATTCTGTCCCATTTCTGTCCCGTCCGGGATTCGAACCCAGAATTCTCGATTGTGTGTTGAGAACGAATTCGATTGTACTACTGGGACCCTCTACTGTATAGTTCCAGTACTGCACTGTCTAGAAAGGGTTATCTTGAGATGATTTCGGGGCTTTAGTGTCCCCGCGGCCCGGTCGTTAACCAGGCCTCCACCCTTAGGAAGCAGCCCGTGACAGCTGCTGACTAACACCCAGGTACCTATTTTACTGCTAGGTAACAGGGGAATAGGGTGAAAGAAACTCTGCCCATTGTTTCTCGCCGGCACCCGGGATCGAACCCGGGACCACAGGATCACAAGTCCAGGGTGCTGTCCGCTCGGCCGACCGGCTCCCTTGCAAGGGTTAAATATAAACTAGAGTAAGCAAGCTAAATTAGTTATTTTGTTTTTACTCGCAGTAATTAGAAGATTTGGAACCTGTAGAAGTAAATGTTTGTGGAAAATGTCATAAACCCTTGGATGAGAAAGTAATAAAATAATTACTTAAGTGATGGGCAAGTTTTCATGTATAATTATTTTAATTTGTAAAAAGGAAAATTATGTTATTTAAACTTTTAAAACTGTTCATTTCTTTTATACAGCTGTTGGACAAGCACTTAACCTGGCTCAATCCCTGGTCAAGTATCCACAGAAATGTATGCTGGCTGACCGAACCTCTGCCCTAAATGCCACATTTGCAGCGAAATCTTTGCAAGAAGCTCTAAAATTTGAACATGAAAATGGAATATCAGTAATTATGGAGGTAAGTAAAGTTGTCATTTTGCCAAATTGTGTGAAAAGTAAACCACTGAAGATTAAATAAATTTGTTAGGCCAAAGAATATGCTCAAAACAAATTACTGAATATGAAACCTAAAAAACTAGAGAAAAATATAAAGCATGCTTTGGACTTGTTAACACTTTGGCGTACCCCGCGCGCCACCCCTCAACTGTGCGATATGGGACCCAGGGTGTCTCGTCCTACGAGATTAAATTTTGTATCATTATGTTCGCAATAGAATTCTCTACAGCACTAAATGCATATAAACTCCAAAAGCCCGGCTAATTACCCGCAGCAAACGAACGAGTTACCCAGGAGCGCGCAAATGCGATAAAATGTTTTCACTATTTTCACTCTGGTCACCTCAATTTTCGTCCTAGGTCTTTCATTTTGGTCTCAATGGGTTCGCAATTGAATTCTCTAGAGGAACATTAGCATATAAAATAAAACACCTGGTCATGCTCCAACCGCCGACGAGTTGAAGATGGGCCACGCGTTAGCCGCAAGTGAGCGCTCAGACGCCTTCCAGCTACACTCCCAATTCCCGCCCTTTTCAAGCCTTTCTTTTGCAATTTTCTTCCTGGAAGGGCCTTGTTCATGATCACTATCCATCGTGGAGTAAGCGTAGATAGTTTCTAAAGCCGCAGTAAGAAATATAGCCACGGAAAATAGCCGAAATGTACACATGTTTGAGATGCGAGGGAGGCAACATTGGTTACAACAGTGGAGTGAAAACAATGGGCCCACGGCGTGTGCCAAGCCGCCTGAGGGCCACGAGGCTCAACAAAGAAAATGGGAAGACATCGGCGCGCATTTTAAAACCAGTCCCAAAAAAATTGGATAAAAACCTGATTTTTGGCGGTTATTTAAAGTGGATGACGCAATGCTGCGTCATCCCCGGTATTACCGACAGTAAACGGATGACGCAATGCTGCGTCATGCCCGGGCGAAAGTGTTAAAAGCTACTATCAGAGACTTAAACAGTCTCCGTTGTGTAGTGGTAAGACACTCGCCTGGCGTTCCGCGAGCGCTTTGTCATGGGTTCGTATCCTGGCCGGGGAGGATTTACTGGGCGCAAATCCTTAACTGTAGCCTCTGTCTAACGCAACAGTAAAATGTGTACTTGGTTGTAACAACGAATCTTCGCGGCGAGGATCGTATTCCAAGGACCTGCCTGAAACGCTACGCGTACTAGTGGCTCTACAAGAATGTAACAACTCTTGTATATATCTAAAAAAAAAAAAAAAAAATCTGGGCAAGCTGTTTTGCTGCACCCAAGATATGTGATCAAATTACTGTACATTGTTGAGAAATTACTGTAGGTGGTCAGTGCTTCAACTCTGATGTCACGGTTTTGCTATCTTAATAGCTAATGAAAAGACAAGCAAGGTATTCTGGTGGTCCCTAGTCCACCACTCCTTCCCCGTTCCTTTTTTGTCTGTGCTTCTGTCCTACATAGTCAGGAAGGGAACTATCAGGAGAAAGTGCCAAGCCATTACAACTATATACCATTTAGAAGGGGTCAGGATGAGAATTTGGGATGGGACAGGGGAATGAAATGGTGCCCAACCTTTCATTAGTGTATGCAGGGATGCCAGAGTGTGGAGTATTTAGGCATTCTATAACAAAACTACAATTTGACTGCATAAACCTCATACAACTCCCTGAGAATCCCATTATGTCCAGCCTATAGCACAATAAATAATACACACAGAAATCACAATAACGCAATATATTAAACGAACAAATCCACTAGGGCCGGTCGGCCGAGCGGACAGCACGCGGGACTTGTGATCCTGTGGTCCTGGGTTCGATCCCAGGCGCCGGCGAGAAACAATGGGCAGAGTTTCTTTCACCCTATGCCCCTGTTACCTAGCAGTAAAATAGGTACCTGGGTGTTAGTCAGCTGTCACGGGCTGCTTCCTGGGGGTGGAGGCCTGGTCGAGGACCGGGCCGCGGGGACACTAAAGCCCCGAAATCATCTCAAGATAACCTCAAGATAGGGCCTTGATGGGGGTTTGAACCTATGCGCTGAGTGTTGCCAGACATGTCTTAGTCAACTGTACCAGGACATGGTAAAAAAAATTGCAACCTGAAGTGCTACTGCCCTCACGAGGATCCCGAGGCTTCTACTGAAGCCTTGGGATTTTACTAACAGGGTTTCACACAATTCCCCCCATGCACTTGCGGGATCCTTGTGAGGGCAGTAGCACTCCAGGTTGTAATTATTTTGACCATGGTAGGGCATCAGGTTTACTGCTTTCGTTGCGTTCCTTTTAGCTTGAATCTGGCATGTTGCGTATTCACGCATCTTAGACATGGGGGAGGGGGCACGGACAGGTGGTGCAGCGGTGAGGTGTGACGTTTGCTTGTTTCCTTAAGTTGGGCGAGTTCTGCCTCACTGTTCGGTTTTCAATCGCAATTTCTTACCAAGTAGGGTTTGTTTTGTTATGCCTACCTTACTGGGTGCCAACCCCGTTCGATGGCAGACATGGAATACGCCCCAACCATATCATGGCTTCTGTAAGCCATTGAGAGAAGGGAAGGCAAAGGGAGCAAAGGGAATTGCTCCCTTCTCTGAGGGGGTCAGGTTCTGGCTCATGGTCCCCAGTAGGCTGAACTCCAATTGACTGATGCCCCAGACTAATATAACACTATAACATTATATAATATAATATAATATAACAGGAGGCCTGGTCGACGACCGGGCCGCGGGGACGCTAAGCCCCGGAAGCACCTCAAGGTAACACATCAGCCAAATAGCTCCAGGAAGCCTCTGGGGCTCACCCAGAAAATGGCTTTTCATTACATTCAATGCTGGTTTTTTGTTTTCATAAAATACTGTAGCTTGGCATTTTTAATATCCTGAATAGTTTACAATAGTTTTGCTGCTTAGGAGTAATGGCAAAATATAATGCATTATATTTGAACAGTGTTATTGTTCTTAACCATTTTATATAGTACAGTACTTAAGTATAATTTAGAAATTACATATTGTACCTCATTTCTTGAATCTTTTCTCAGGAATCTGTTGAAGGAGCACAAAAATTTGTTGATGGAATTGGTCGACATGGAAAATTTAATTTGGATTCTCAGAAGTCCAAGCTGTAGAATGAAGACATTGTGAAATGACATGTTTATGTTGATTAATAAAGATTTCATAATGCATACAATAATTTTGAATTTTGATACTGTTTACACACTAAAATTGTACAAAATAAGCCGTTGTACTTTTTTGTAAATACAGTACTTAAATAAATATAAATACTGTAAATAACATCGTTTACCTTTTTCTAACAGAGTATTGATCTTTTTTTTATACAAATGCCTTCTTAACCCATGAAACTGAAATATGGGTAATACAGTAATGACAAGTCAAGAGAATACGTATAGAGGTGGAGCGTAGGTCTGTGTGTGTTATTGTTATTATGTATTAGAATAACTGCACCTTATTACTTTCGCATTCTGATGATGCTAAAATACATCATCTGAACTCCGGCAGTAAATATTCCAATGACACTAAAACATCATCCAATTGGCATTCATGAGCACTCATGTATTCATCGCTGTTGTGTATAATCTATCATGAATACAGTTTTATTTTTGTTTATGTTCAGTGGAGAATTCATTGGCAAACATTTTGACAACAAACTTAGAGTTACAACCCAACAAGTAACTTTGAAAACATAAAATTATTGTAAAAAAAAAATTGCATAGGTGAGCAACCTAATGTTTACAGTCAGAAATGTGTGGAGAGGCCGGACTGCCAAAAGTTAATGGATATGTGGTTGTATGCATGTTTTAATAGGTTTCCATTCATATCTATGCATTAGCATTCATGTGTTTGTTAAATTTGTTGTTCTATAATTTATTTTCTTTGGAATTAAATAATGTTCAGTATATTTTGTGGACATAGTTCAGTGTGACAGATGTGTTTCTGGTGTCCTACATCACACTCTTTATAATTTCATTAAGCTGAATATCATTAAGACAAATACAACTCCTCAACTCTCTAAAACACCCAGATTTGAATGTACAGTATTGAAATACAATGGGGCCTTGACTTACGATGCTAATCCGTTCCCAGAGACGGATCGTAAGTCGAAATATCGTAAGTCGAAGCGATTTTTCCCATAAGAAATAAAGGAATTGAATTAATCCGTTCCCCACCCTCTAAAATATTAACATACAAATACATTTTATACTGAATACAATGTTTTTTTCTAATTACAATACAGTACCAAAGTTTCTCTAACCTTTATGGAGGGCTTTTGATGGCGTATGGAAGATGGTGATGAGGGGGGGAGGAAGAGAGGTGTTCCTGTTTGGAAGGGGAGTCCCCTTCCATTATCACATCAGGCAGTGATGTTTTCTCTAGGGTACTCTCTCATACGTTTTGCCTGAACACCACTAGGACCTGGTTGTGGTTCAGTGCTTGTTTGTCTCACTACAAATTTGTCAAGAGACATTTGTTTTTCCCTTTGTTTTAACATTTGTCTGTAATGATGCATCACAGTGTCATTGAATAGGTTAAGGCAACGACCTACTGCAGCTTGATTTGGGTGAGTCGTTTCAGCAAAGGTTTGCAATTCTTTCCATGCTGCACACATTTTCTTAATTGTTGAGGAAGAGACATTCTGTACTCTTGTTTCTGCTCTATGGTCATCCTTACATGGGTTTTCATATGTTGAGCCTTACCACTGTCTTTCCTGGGACTCATGGCGTGATATATAATAATTACTTTAATGTTCAAAATGCAAAAAATCACCACAAAAGTGGAATTTCTTATAGGCGCAATCGTCACTAAGCGGGCAGCTGTAGTAAACTGAGGCAGGTCGGCCGCGTGACTGGGAACCACGCGCTCGGTCGACCCGAACGTGTACCAACAAATATCGGAAGTCGACGACACCATCGGATGTCGAGTCTCATTTTTCGATGAAATTTACATCATAACTCAAAATTATCGTAAGTAGGGGAAATCATATGTCAAGGTACTTCTTTCTGGAAGAGCTCCAGTGACTCCCTGAGGCTATCTCACTACAATGACTCCCCCTACTGAGTCCCATCAGCCACAGGAGTCCTGTTAGCATACTGAGGACCAGAGCCAGGACCTAGCCCCATCACAGAGGTAGAGGGAGCTGGGGATTGTTTTGACCACCCACACTGAGCAAGGAATCAGAAAGTAAGTGAAGCAATATAAACAACTGTGCAAGGTTTACATACAACGAAGCATCGAAATAGGCAACCAACTGCACAAACAATTCACTCAAAACCAAATAGTTCAGCCGACACTAGCTTGAACCCCCCCATAGTGTGCAAAGCCGCTAACAGGTGGCACTCTGCAAGCTCAGGCCTTCCAGGTCAGCAATGAGTCAGTCCAAAGGTGATAGAACACAAGCTGATGCACCTTGTAGGGGGACAGGGAAGCCACCGGGGCTCTACCAGAAAGAGACATTTTATTATGTTACTGCTGGTTTTCTGTAGGAGCCCCTTGGTGGCTCCCTTGATGCTACAGAGCAACAGAAAACATAGAAACTATGGTTTTACCACGGAGGAGAGTGACAGCTACACACCCAAAGATAAAAGCCTGGGCCATTATACCTGACCCAAGGCAGCATAAGCCCATCTGGGACCAGGAAAACTTAGATACTGAACCATCAGGACTGTTAATTCTCCATAACCCCTGCGCCTCCTGAATATTGGCCCACAACATGCTAGCAAACACAGCTGCCAAGGCCACAAACTTAACAAATATTGTGGGTCCAGAGTTAACCTGCATGCAGGCTGGCTTTAAAATGACCTGAAAGAGTCTAACCTGCCAAATTTTACATGTCCTCATACGAAATGCATTATATTTGTAAACTATGGATACAAAGATACAAATCAAATGCTTTTAGAACTCTTAAGAGTAAAAGTATAAAATAATTTGTATGTTGCAGTAATGTATTGATTTATCACATCTTTGGTTTAGTGTTTCTGGACTGGCCTCAGCTCCTACCCAGTGCATTTTTTCTGGACATCCACAAAGCTCCAAGGTCTCAGAACTGACACATGGGGTGGATTTACTATGAAACTCATGAAGCCCAAGCTTCAGAACCCCTTATCCCAGAGGGACCTCAGAAACAACTTTAGCTCACATTGCCTAAAACTTTTGGGTCTGCATCTCAGATTTAATCAAAATCTGAGATGTAGTGGAACGACCCCCATTGGAAAAGGTAAGTGATTATACCCAGACTTTGTTCCTAGTTGTAAGGGGCTCCAATAATAGTTGAGGCTTCAGGGCCCCAGAAATTGTAGGTCAGTCACTGCTAACACAAGCTCACCAAACTCCAGGAGCAGAATCGGGTGTCTTCATAGAAGCAAGGGGGAGCATGTGGGGAGTCTAGATCAACCTCCTAATTGAGCAAAAACCCCCTAGAAAGAACAGACTTAGCTAAACAATCTAGGTATCTTGATGAAAGTGAAAAGATAGAAGGGAAGCGGTACTTTGCCCAGTGCCAACACACCATGGTGCAAGTATCCAAATACACCACTAGGTAAGAGCTCAAGTCACCCAAGGATTCAACCTGCCTCTTTGCCTCATTTGCATCTGGTACCATCCACTCACCAGCTCTGCAAGGACCGAGATGTTTTTTTGAGCTATGATGGGGTTAGTCCTCTGGTCCTCAATCATTCCTGGTGCGAAAGGACTTTGTTACAAGTTTTTTTTGAATCTCAGAACTTTCTCTGAGAACTTTGAATGTTGAACTTCCTCCAAAGCAGAGATATCATGCTGAAGATAAGTCTCCTTGCTGGAGCTAGTATTCCAAATAGGGGTGCACCAGAGACCTGTACAGTTGAATGACTACAGTACTTTCTTTTCATTAAAAGTCAAAGGTTTGCTTGACTATTCCTAAAGTTTGATCTTCTTAGTGCAGCACCCACTTCTTGTGCAATCTTCAATGACTGATGGATTTATCACATTATAAAGATAGGTAACTTGTACTGTTGCTGTGACTACCTTGTGGCATATTCCCACTGTCAGTTTGCTCCCATTTTGAGCTAGTATATTGCACTATACAGATTATAGATTTCAAGAATCCTATGACGCTGAGTTCCTCGTTGCTAGTTATAGTCAAGTCCTCTTTTATATATAGTATCACATCACAACTTTATTCTCACCATCAGTTCCAGTTGTTCTGTCTGATCTGAAAGATGGATGGTATCCTGGATGATGGACTATCCCTTCAGTTATGTCTTCTCATCCCAATGTTTCGTCGATCCCAATGATGTCAGGATTCTCAACCTCATTGTATGCACACAATGCATCAAATTTATCTACTAGACTTATTGCATTTGTGTAGAAAAGCAATTTAAATTTGTGACATTGGTCAGCAGTTTCTTTCACCCTGTGCCCCTGTTACCTAGCAGTAAAATAGGTACCTGGGTGTTAGTCAGCTGTCACGAGCTGCTTCCTGGGGGTGGAGGCCTGGTTGAGGACCGGGCTGCGGGGACACTAAAAAAGTCCCGAAATCATCTCAAGATAACCTCAAGATAGCAGTGACTTGGGTTCACCTCCCTCCTTTACAGCATGGCAGAGGTCAGGAAAATAGCAAAAAGAGCCGACACGAAGCGGCCAAAACTTTACCCAAGATTAACTATGTACTGCAATGCATCAGTTATACAATGTATGTGATGTAACTATAACTTAAGCTTATAAATGCACCTTAATCACCTTCAGTAGTTAAGTGCTTAATAACACATGAGTTTCTATATCTTACCCTGTCAAAGTAGGAGAGATATAAATATACTGTGTACTTGTATGTATATGTGAATATATATACACCGGTATATGTAAATATAGGGTATGTGTAAGCTGGTCAGAATTTCATCTCTGAAAAGATTTCATCTCTCACTAGTCAATAATTATTTATCATTCATCCTAATTAGCTATTTGATTCATTAAAAGTAATTGCTTATCATTATACTATTTGTTATTATTATTATTTATTATATAATAATAATTTTATTATTTATTAATTTATATAATAAATTAATTTATTATTTACCATTAAAATAAACAAGTCCCCAATCTGAGCACGTTTTCTTCCAACCTCAGAAAATGCACATTAATAACATGATGTAAAAAGCATACCTCAAACACTGTTTATGCAAGGCAGATGTAAATCTGTGTATTTATGTAGGTTAGATGAGCATTTTTAAAGTGCTACAATCACCATCTGAGGTTGATTGTTCAATAAATTACAGAACAATATGTTTA